ACTAGTGCATGTGTTCAACTACGGTAATTACCATGGAGATACCCTGGTAAGATTTTTACTATTACGACATCCGTGCATCTTTTGCATACTTCTAAAACTAGTACATCATTGCTAACTATGAAGTTATTACTATGTTTTTCAACAGATAATCCCAGAGAATTGTGTGCCTCATTTGATGTATCAGAAAGGTAGTCTTAATGTTTTGAACATACAGCCAGGTCATTCTACGAACCTCAACTGTCCATACGAGATTTATAAAAGAAGTGGAGACATGAAAATCAAAGGATGAAAAAAATGTATGGACAGTCGTAAGGAGGTTCTTGGAAGCAAAAGGAAGCGAAGCGCAAGAATTGGAGACAGGATGTTCTCCATTCTCCATAATGGAGAGCCAGGGTCTATATTGTTTTATGCTATTTTACCTTAAATAGGGTATTTAGGTCCTGCCTAATACTGATGATCATGTGCTAAGAACAATTAAGTAGGGTTGTTTCGATGACTATCAAGATGATGATCGTATGACTTGTTATTAATAACAAGTAGAAGTTGTATGATGATGATTAGTAGGACTTGTTAGGATTAGTATTACTTCTGACAAACTCGCTACTCGCAGTCTCGAGACTTGTAATGTTCTATCTTTGTTCGGTCTTTTGAATTCGGAGACTAATATGATAAATTGTATTCGGAGACTAATCTTCTATTGTATTCGATGAATCTGCTCTTGCTGTGTGGTGTTGTCTATATTCTGTCCAATAATATATTTTGTAACCTGTGCAAAAATCAGAAAAGTAGAAAAAACCTAATATTCATACTAATGGCGCATCGCCCCACAGTGCGTCATTAGTATGCCAAATCACATGGGTAAATATGCCCCCCTGGAAGGCATACTAATGACGCATGTTGGTCTATACTAATGGCGCACCTGTGGTGCGCCATTAATATATAATACTAGTGGCGCACCAGTAGTGCGCCATTAGTAGGCAAAACTGGTGCGCCACTAGTAGGTCTTTTCCTAGTAGTGCGAGGGTCGCCATCTTCTGGTCCTCATCTGAACTCATATGTCTATGGTCTCGACAAAGATCTGCATGCCACCTCAGAGGTGCCTCCCGAGCCCTGGTCCCACGTAGTTGTTGACGGCATTCGGAACCTTTGGGCTCAAGGGTGGCTCGCTCTGCTGGTGTTGGGCAAGTTCTGCGGGGGGGCGCCTCGGCGAGGATCTTGTCGAGGGAGTCCACCTCGCCCTCTTGCCCTCCTGCGCTTCTGGTCTTGGCGTCGTCTTGGTTGTCTTGTGCTTCGGCTTCTCTCCGACTTCCCTCCTCTGCCCTGCTAAGGGTGGCCGCGGCACATGGCTCTGACTGCCTGTGCATAAATAAAGAGATCAAAATTAGAGCCCCTACTTTTGTACACCGACACCAGTCCAACTTCACCCTGCTAATTAGAGATACGAAGCTAACTTAGAATTAGTTTACTATTGATGATGCCTACATCCGAGTAGTTGAATAGTATTTACAGTGACCTTTCTTGCACCATATTAGTGCTTGCCGTTCTAGACTTATCATCTACCATCCATATTCCCGTTGGCAACCACCCCTCTATGTTGCATGCGGATTTTTTTAATCTGCACTGTTCTAGATAACTGCATTGCCTGCCATATTTTTAAGTCACATAACTCTCATGCTATTGGACTAAATGCTTGTCAAATCTTGAATTTGTAATCTCAAATGCACACTATATTACTTAACACATTTAAGAACTAATGCACGTTGTGATATGAAGACAATTTTTTTCCAATATAAGACAAATTTGATTGTCCGAGTTCAAGCATTAACTGATGTGAGTTGAAATATATAAGAAACATAGCGTAACATAATCCACATATTATTGAACTAAATATTATTCAAAGTTTGATTTGGACAATCAAATACACATTGTTATCTTATTCGCGGGAATCTAATTGTCATATGCAATTTCAAACTAGCAATGGGGCCATCCGATCTATTTCAGCTTCAAAGCCTTGCACGCAACAACTTTTCTACCACACACATGCAACATATTTGCAGTATTCCTTCTCCCGATGGTTAAAGACCACACAGAAAACGTCATCCCATTTCAAAATAACTCTTGCAGCAAAAATATTTATGTATGCAAGAAATCCATTGATCGTAGCAAAATCGCCGGGAAAGACGCGTAGGGCGTATGCATCATGGAAATAGTGTTTGCAATGGTGCAAATAACACTGACAACATGAACCAACAATTTGCAAAATACACCACAAAATCAGCATATCACGTTGGCATGTGTTTGCAATAGAACCGACACAAGCTTGTAGCATGTCGAGCAAACATATGTAGTATGAAAAATCTGTGAAATCCCTAACCTTCAGTTGGGAACACCGACCTCATCACCTAGGCTCACTGGCGTCGAATTCGGCTCACCGAAGCCCCGTCGGAGCCGGATCCGACGAGCCCGGACTCCCCTTCGGTATACCATCTCCCTGGGGGTATCGGCATGGTGGAGAACCTTGGTTTCTCGAAGCTCAACCATTGTCATGTCCATATGGTGGCGAGCGAGATTCTGTGATCTCTCATGTTGTGACGATGGACAAGGACAGTACGAGGAGCAACAACGCAACTATGTGAGAGCGGCGATGGGCGCGACAACCACATGGGATAGACGAGGAGTAGCAGGGCCACACACGCGGGGATAATTTCCCTGATTGATAATGCATTGCCATCATTTGCTTTAAATCTCCTTTCTTCTCTCTTCTTTTGGTATAATACCAAAGCCTCTAATTCATACTATTGCCTTAGACTTTCTTTTTATGCTTTTGCTTAGTTATAAGAAAAAAGTGATTGGCTATCTCGAAAAAAAAATCAGACAACTTGCGAATAGAGGCTCTCATTTGTTTCTCCAAAATTACTACTCAATCCCTCCGTCTCCAATGGTGTGACTAAAATTCTCTACCGATTTTGTTTTTAAGAAAATCTATACCGATTTAAAATTCGCCAACAACCTCTTTTTTTGAAATATTTCGCCAACAACCTTCATTTAACGGAGTATCTCGCTTGTGTAAAATTCTTCGGCTTCCGCAGTATAGACTAGATGCCTCGTACTACTATAAACGTTTCCCACTGGCCGGTGGTCTCTCGCCTTCCTATGCACGTTCAAATAAATACAACCCTGCAGTTCCCAATCCTCACGCTCGATCGCGCCTGTACTTCTGCACTCTTCGTTTTCCTCTGCTCGGCATCTGTCGCGTGAACATGGCAGCTGGCACTAAGGGCGACGGCTCGGCGATCGGCATCGACCTCGGGACGACCTACTCCTGTGTGGCCGTGTGGCGGCCGGTGCACCAACGCGTGGAGGTCATCGCCAACGACCAGGGCAACCTCACCACGCCTTCCTGCGTCGCCTTCACCGACACCTGGCGTCTCATCGGCGACGCGGCCATGAACCAGGCTGCCATGAACCCCGTCAACACCGTCTTCGGTGAGAGCTACCAACTGACCACCACCTGCTAGTTCTTCTTCTTTTTAGCGGCAATCGTTCTGTTCGTTTATTAAGTTTCTCAGGTTCATAGGTTTGTGTTGCATATATTTCATATTCTTCAGTTGCCAAATGCTCACTCAGGTATTCAGATTACTGCATCTTCTCTCCCATGTTCTTTTTGTTTGCTGAGATCGGTTTTTTTTCTTCAATATTGATCTGTGCCATGTTTTCTTTTTTTGCGGTGGTTCTGCCATGTAGTTATTTGTTTGTACAAGCTTCCAAGCACTAAGAACCCCTGTACTAGCTGGATTCAAAAAATGCTTGAATAAAATATACATCCAATTCCCATGTCCACTATATCCTAGTATATGATTACATTTGTGCAATCTATTATTTGATTAAAAGTTAGTACTACAACATAGGAAACACATACGAAAAAACAGGTTAATGATGACAGTGGAAACTTTCTTGTGAAATGTGGTGTAAAATAATACCCCCTCTGTACACAATGTAAGACGTTTTTAGTGTACTAATACTCACCAAAAACATCTTACATTTGTGTATAGTGGGAGTATTTAGGAAAAATCCTAAAACTTTAAAAATCAAGAAACTGCGTTAAAAGGTATATTTCCTAAGTTGCTATAAAAAATCCTTCAATCAAAAGAGGCCGCTTATATATGGACAGTATCAGGGTTTGGTGTAGAAACAATACATTGCAATTCCCCCATGAATATCAAGAAATATAATGTCAAAACTTAAGAGGTTATTTTTTGAAGGAAATAAAAACAGGACAAGTATTTCTGTTGTGGGATTTTTCAGATTGTATCATGTAACGATATTTGTTTATTTTGTGCCAATGCTTATAAACTGAATATAGTAACTAGCATCTCTAGTTATTTGTTTATTTTGATTGTAGATTATTATTTCATTGAGGACTGAAAAACTATAATTTTATATAGCTTAGTTACATTATAAAAAAGTTAGACAATATGAATAACCAAAACATATATTCATGAAAGCACATAGTTTTCTGTTATGCAAATGTTGAGCCGTTTTTTTTATTTTGGCAATATTGAGTGGCTTATTAATTTAACTCTTATCACACAATTGTAAGTTTCATAAATTGCAAATTAATGCACAACAAACTACATAATCAAGACCCAATTCCAGATAATTACGTATTAATTAGTGATTGGCCATATCAAAATACAACAAACAATAAATTTGCATTTGTGATGTGGGGTTGTTTTGTGAAAATGCTTTCTGAACCTGGTATTTTTGTTATCAAACTGGTTTGTAATAGCAAGGCGAAATGATATTTAAGTATATATGTTCTGTGATGCATTGGTTCTTAAATTTAGAATGAAGTGAAAATACTCTTTCGGTATTTAATTTCATAGATATATGTCTTCTTTTGCGAAATACACTATTGTATTGAAACTAACTACATCGATTTTTCCAGATGCAAAGCGGCTGATCGGTCGACGCTTCAGCGAAGAGTGGTGCAAGGAGATATGAAGTTGTGGCCTTTCAAAGTCATTTCAGGCCGTAGCGATCGACCAATGATCGTGGTGAAGTACAGGGGCGAGGAGAAGCAGTTCGCTGCTGAAGAAATATCCTCCATGGTGCTTGTCAAGATGAGGGAGACAGCGGAGACCTACCTTGGCACCACGGTGAAGGATGCTGTCATCACCGTGCCAGTCTACTTCAACGACTCGCAGCGCCAGTCCACCCTCGATGCTGGTGCCATTGCTGGCCTCAACGTCACGCGCATTATCAACGAGCCCTCCGCCGCAGCCATCGCCTACGGTCTCGACGATACTTCTGCTAATGGTGAAGCTAACACGGTGCTCATATTTGATTATGGTGGTGGCACCTTGGATATCTCTGTCATCAAAATTGACAATGGTACCTTTAATGTCAAGGCCACGTCTGGTGACACCCACCTTGGAGGGGAGGATCTCAACAACCGGATGGTGGAGCATTTCGTGCAGGATTTCTTGAAGAAACACAAGAGTGACCTCAGAAGCAACCCGAAGGCGCTGATGCGGCTCAGGACTGCTTGCGAGAGGGCCAAGAGAATGTTGTCTTCCACGGCAGAGGCTAAGATCGAGATCGACTCCCTCCACGACGGCATTGACTTCTACGCGACCATCACCCGCGCCCGGTTCGAGGAACTCAACTTGGACCTCTTCAGCAAGTGCATTATGCATGTGGCGAAGTGCCTTGGCGACGCCGAGATGGACAAGTCACAGGTCCATGACGTTGTGCTTGTGGGTGGCTCCACCAAGATCCCCAAGGTGCAGCAGCTGCTGCAGGATTTTTTTCACGGGAAGAAGCTCTGCAAGAGCATCAACCCCGACGAGGCCGTCGCCTACGGCGCTGCTGTCCAAGCCGCCATCCATAACGGCCAGTACAACCAGAAGGTGAACGACTTGGTCCTTCTCGATGTCACGCCGCTGTCGCTCGGGATAGAGTTGGTAGGTGGTGTCATGAGCGTGGTGATACCCAGGAACACTACCATCCCGGCCAAGAAGGAGAGGGGTTATACAACCGACGTTGACTACCAGACCGCCGTGCCCTTCTCGGTGTACGAGGGGGAAGCAGGGTTGGTCAAGGATAACAATCTGCTCGGCATGTTCAATCTCACTGGCGTCCCTCCAGCGCCGAGGCTCGTGCCAAAGCTCAATGTGACGTTCGAAATCAATGCAAATGGCATCCTGGAAGTAACGGCGGAGGAAAGGCCGACCGGAAACAAGAACAGCATCACCATCACCAACGACAAGGGCGGGCTGAGCAAGCAAGAGATTGATAGGATGGTTCGTGATGCCAACAAGTACTAGTCCGACGACAAGAGAAAAAAGTGAAGGAACGATCATGGCCATGAGGGTCCTGAAGCTTGTTTAATCCTAAAATCACTCTGCTTTTGATTTACCATGGATGCTTATTAGTACCGGTACTATTCTGCAACTTCTGGCATTGCGCATGTGCATGTTCGTCCTAGCCTGGCTTGTGTTTACTGTTATTTTGTTTTGTGAACCATGTTCATCTGGTGACAGTGAGTAATTGCCTAAGGTGATCCGGTGCCTAGTATTTGCTTAAGTCAACGTAAAAGAATGTGTGTCTCAAGTGCTCATAGCATGCTTTGGTGTTTGTGTATCTCAAACATCACTCTTCGTTAGCAAGCCAAAATTCATTTTGTAAATTGAACATTTGTTTGCGCACAGCGACCCCTCTGATGGAGTACTTGCTCTGTTCAGGTTTTCATTTTTTCTGTTGGTTTCTTTCGCGGTTTCTTTTAATGTCACCTTTATTTTTTTAAAATATTCAGAAAATCTAAAACATGTTAAAAATAAAAAAAAATCGCATTTAAATAATTTTTAAAAATTACAAAGTATGTTCACAATTTTTTTAAACGAGCACATTTCTCCAAAATGGTCTGAAGATCTAAAAAAATGCTCACATCAAATTAAAATTTTTCTGTGTTTTCTTAAAACCACTGGAAAGTGGAACATGGAAAAAACCGCTCGCTCGCTACTTGTCGGGGTTGCTGCTATCTAGAGTAATGGGCCAGGCCAGAAAACGTCCCTTTGCAATTTGGCTGCATTTTGATGCATAATGTGTCATACCAGAGCTCCTGTGATTCCCGATGTAAAAACAAAAAGAGCTCCTGTCATACCAGAGCGGGCTGTTTGGATTGTGACTATATTTATCATATATTGCCACATGATTTTTGCCACACTTCCTTACTTGAGTTGCTCAAATTGTTAGCCACATTTTGGCTTGCCTAAGGGAATCTTGCCACACTTTCTATGTCTATGACATGTGGGGCTCACTGCTCATAAAAATATTCTTGCCTTAGGTGTGGCTAGAACCAAACACCTACCTAACTTGGTCAAACTTGCCTAAGGTGAGGTGTGGCAAAGTGTGGCAAGGTGTGCCCGGAAACCAAACAGCCCCTTAATGACGTCCTTCCTCATGCCTAAGCAAAAGCATTCATTGGAATCCGTTCTCTGCCCCTCCAAATATTTGGAACCAAATCATTATTTTAATGAGTAGACGTGCTATGTGTATCGACTTGTGCTAAAGCATCTGATATCATATTGGAAGTTGTTTTTGCTTGATATGGTTCTCTGCTTTCCAATTTGCTTCTAGCACAAACTACAAATCCTACTTCAAAAACATTTAGATGAAGCAAAGCCTTTCACATTATCAAAATACATGTATTAGACAAGGTAATGTTAGAACTTGGAAGTGATCAAATCATATGCTTTTGTGCAAATCAGTTCTTGCTCTATGCTTAGGATATCTGAAATTATATATTCATACTTTATATGTGTTTCGATATGTTAGCATATGAGCGTCAATTTGATTTTTGCGTCAAGTTTCATGCGTAGACATATGTGATGAGGCATGTATTAGATTCCGATAGGTTGTGAATTAGATACAACTTAACATTAGGTGTTATTTGAGTCGAAAATCAATGATCTGAACTTGTTTTCTTCCAAGCAGACCACCTCACTGAATTCCCAAATAAGCTCAATCACCATCTATTTTTGCCTCTAAAAGAAAGGCTTAGCTTTTGATGTTTTATTCAGTTTTGTCTAGGGCTGGTTAGTTCAAATCTAAAAAAAAAATAGAAGTTTTTGTATGGACGATACATGTGGCATTTAGAAAAAAGGCTCTATTTTTTCAAAAAAAATCTTCATGTCTTGCTTGTGCACTGCATCATGATATTGTCCAGAAATAGCACACAACAATATTGTGTCTCTCTATCCACCAGAACACACTTACATGCACGCACGTATGCAAGCGTTATAGGCAAACACACACACCCTCCTACCCACACTCACACAACGATACATAAAATTGAGTTGAGCATATAAGAAGCTATGCTCAAATTAGATAGGACGTGGTGAGGCTCGAATCTGGGCTTTTTTACCCACCAACTTCTGGCGCCAACGAGTAAGCCTCCAGGACTTTCTCCACAATACAAGAGCTAGAAAAAACAACGAGATAAATGACACGTATGTTGTATCTCCATTATAGTGAGTGTACGCTCACCAACAAGCATATGACATGGGCGGCCCAATAGCGAGAAGAACAAGAGCGCTTTCTGGTGATATTTTTCCTCATTTTTTTTCAAGTGTTCTTTACACTGGTTTTCAGTTCAATTTTTGTTCATTCCTTCTATTTTTTCTGTTTTTCTTTCTTTTCGTTTTCTTTCCTTTTTCACCTTTTAGCCTTTTATTTCCCTTTATAATTTTGTTTGTTTTTCCTTTTTTTATTAACTACATAAATATTTTTGAAACTACTGAAATTTTTTGTTAAGTGCGTTGAACATTTTTTAAATTATGTGAATACTTCTATTTTCTGTTTCATTTCAATAGTTTAAATATGTGATCCTTCTTTGTTTTCCTTTCGTAGATTCCATTTTTCCTTTTATATTTCCTTTTTCTTCCAGTTGTATGAAAGAAATATGTAGAGTGTTTGAAAAATATCCATTGTATCGAAAAAAATATTTATTGTGTATTAAAAATATTATTGTGTATTTAAAAATGGTGATTGATTTTTAAACAGTCTATAGTCTATTTAAAAAGTGCTCATCTTGTATTTTAAATATAATGTTTAGTGTTTGTAAAATAATGTTCCTCGTGTTTTAGAAAAGCTCCAACACACATTTCAAAATGTACATTGTGTATTTCTATAAATGATCACTAAGTCTCTACAAATGGCCAAGGCTTGGGTCTGGGTGTGGTACGGTGTGTGGGGGGAGGGCAGGTGGGGTTTCGCTTTGGTGTGGCGTGGGGTATTGACGCTTACACAGCCGCCAGGAATACACACACGAACCGACGGAACGACCCCATGCACTTACAAGGAGGCCCCACTCTGCAGGCCAAACCCCTCGATCAACCAGAGGCATCCCCATCATGGGAGCTTAGTGTTTTAGGTGATAGGTATGTTACAAGCATTACAGATTGTTTGCAGGTAATCTACAGAGTTACTGGGTGGATCCGTACGTGGCCAACACTCAGTCGTGTGGAAGTCAATGAGCATATGGTTTATGGGTGCAACCATTGAAAGACGGTAGTACGGGATATCTACAGCCGGTTTGGATGGCGGTCCAACAATAGAATAGATGTATAGTCGTCCAGTCCTATTTTTGTTTGTTGTGGCTTAGAGTTGCCCTTTTGTTTAATTCACGATGAGTTTTTTTTATCATATTACATACTTACTGGATTATTTGGTTAATCCTCCTTTTCTAAAAAGAAGTATGTTACAAGCGCCCAACATATATACCATGTCTATCAGGGCATAAAACGTAATGCAAAAAATTAGCCGATGAGTATACATCGTAGAATGCACGAGTATACAGAATGCATGTTACATATAGAGGATTCTGATGTGTAGATCAAATGCATGTTACATAGTAGAGGATTCTGATGCGTAGATCGGATGGATGCTATTTTATCTAGTAGGTAGTAAATCTAATTGCTATAACAATTTTGATGATGTGGAAGCATGCATATTGGGACAATTTGAAATTTCAGAGATCACTTTCTTAGGTACTCCTATGTAAAATA